GTATATGAAGTATATAGATACAAGCATTTGAAAAATAGCAATATGTATAAGTAAGCCATATCCATTTGGGTTTTTAAACCTCATCTGCAAACTACAAAACCCCTACCCACTGTGAGACTCTCAATATGCCAGCCAAGAGTCACTCTAAGAATGTATGGGGGCCATACTAGGATCTCTCTTCAAAGGAATCTTGGGAAGGAGGGTGATCTTAATCACTGATGCTCATACTGTGATTTTCATTGACTTGCCTGAAATTTCCTCTTATTCTCTTAGGGCTGTGTTTCTGTAGTTGATCTTGTCTTAGGTTGTTCTCCTGTCATTGACAGTCGTCATGGTGCTTGTTACTCACGGCTTCAAAAAAGTTGGTCTTACAAATGTAGTATGGAAAGTAAAGCTTCCCTTTTTCCTGTATAATTCATATATTTGTGTCTGTGATTAAAATGTATTTGTTTATGTATTTAAAATAGAAAACTGAAATAAAACATTTGGGTATAACAAGTGCCTAAATAAGCAACTCCAGGTGATTTCTTATATAACTAATTCAAACTATATTTTAAAGTTTTTGAAACAGCAGTATTGGGTGAAGTAACAGGTGCCAAAGGTGATTCACTGTGTAAAAAGAGATTGTATTTATTCAGACTAAAGGGTAAAAGCACTAAAAACATATGTTTTTAGGACCATAAAGAAAATTCAATGTTTTTCCTAATAACTGAATATTCATTCATTGAAATATATTTTTTTAAATCTTTCAAATTGCACTTCTGGCACAGTGGTAGAAACTTCATATTCCAGGGGAAAGAAGGCATCGTGAAGAACAATGTTGGATAAAATAAAACGACAAACATTTGGGCTTTTTAAAAATGTGACAATGATCCCCAAGATCCAAAGGAAAAAAATGGAGCAGAAACCCAGTGTGGTAGGCTCAGACTAGGAACATGGCACCTGTAGAGTGTTCGCCAACACTGATAATCCTAGGACTTAATACTGTTATGATTTTCTATGTCAAGCTACGGCAAGGTAGACTTACACACAGCATAATGTTGGGACCCTATAAAGGCCTTGCTCACAATCATTTGGCAAATGCTGGTGCTTAGGACATTGAACTGTTTGGAATAATTGCTGAATGCAAGAAAAACATTCCCCTTACGTAACCACAATCCTTTCCTCACTATGTTTGGAGTTCAAACGTAAAATACTTGCCTGACCAGAAAATCCCAAGGCAAGAAATAAATTTAAGATGGTCTTTGATTGATAGCATCGCGGGAGTGCCTGGAAGAAGCAAACACAAATGCAGTCTGGAGGGGCTTAGCCTCAAGCCCAGGGTCACAGAGTTTGAACAGATAAAGACCACCAAACATGAGCTCACAATTTCAGACTCCAGGATCACACAAGGAAATAAGAGCTATGAGCAGGAGACAGAAGAAACCACAAATAGCAGACCTAGACTTCCCTAAAACTTGAGATAATGATTTATCAGATAAAGAAAATTATATAAACACCTAGGATGTTTTTAAACTCGTATGTACCATGAGTAAAACAAGGAGATTGTATCAGAAAGGAAATGGAATAGGAAGAGAAGCAAATAAAACTTCACGAAATGAAATATGATGGCAAGAATGAAAGCTCAACTGCTCCTATTAAGTAACAAGCTATTACCAACTGAAAAAAGAATTGATCAACCGATTCTAATGAAATTATAGAAAGGGCTAAATAAAGCCATGCAAATGGTTAAAAAAAAAAAAAAGGAGGGGGGTTCAGAGATTAAAAACAAAAAAAAGGATGAGTCAATTGCCTACCTAACTGGATTTGTAGATTTCTTTCAACAGCAAACAAGAAACACAATCATTTTCAATCAAATGAAAACAGTTTACCACTTTGGGAAGTAATATATAAGAAAGTAAAGAAAGTGTTAAATGTTTTTAAAACTAAATGACACCAATTACATAAAATAGTAATGATTCCATATTGAGCATTATCATGGACTGAACGTGTTTTCCCCAAATTCGTATTTTGAAATCCTAACCACCAGTGCAATGGTATTATATAAATGTCTAGGATGCTTTCAGATAGCCAAATAGAACAAGTGAAAAAGTAAGATGTGATGCAGTTATGAGGTTGGAGCCCTGTGAATAAGACACTGAAGAGTCCAGAGTTCTTTGTTTCCACCATATGAGAAAAGGCAGTCCACAAACTCTCCCACCCCTCAAAAAAAGAGTCCCTCACCAGAACCTGACCAGCCTGAGCATGGATTTTTAGTCTTCAGAAATTCAAGAAATAACTTTCTATTGATAACTTTCTATTGATAACACCTGATCTATAATATAGTATTTCATTCAAGCAGTGTGAGCTAAGACTCACATTAATAACAAAGATATAGTATAAATACAATAATACTATACTATAACTTATAGGGGTAGGAACGTTCTGTAGTATATAAATTTTTCAGTAACAGAGGAAATACAAACTTAAACATGACAATAACTCAAGATAGAAATGGAATCCATAATTTCTAAAATATAGGAGGAAAATAATCTAAAGCATGAAAGAATATTTATGGAAAAAGACTAGAAAATAAGTAGGATAAAAACAATGCACAAAATAAATGTTAGAAATAGTAATACCAGTAATCACAAATGTAGGGAGACAAAACTTGCCTTCTTTTTTCATAATCCTTGAGTCACAAAAGTCTAGATTTTAAAAATCTGGTTGCATGACATTTATATGGGCCACTTCTTATACATAGGATATAAACTGTTTGAGAGAAAAATGTGACTATTGGCAAATACTAAATTTGTAAAGCTTTTATAAATGTGTTACAATTACATGATTTTTAAGATAAAAAAGGATTATTGCAGATAAAAAGTTCACTTCACAGTGATGAAATACTCTGTTTTCCAAGAAAATGAAACAGCCCTCAACTTACGATGCTTTGACATTACAGTGGTTCATTCAATAGAAATTGTTCTTTGGATTTTGCTCTTTTTCATGGTGATGATGTGCAATAGGTAGGGTCTCCTCTCGGAGTGGCACAGACACTAGCAGCCAGGAGTCTGTGCTCAGGAGAACAGTCGGCCTCATGATCATGAGGGTAAACAGCTGACACTCCATAGTATCGCTATGCAGCCGTGTTGTGGGGCTGTGATATTTGATCGCTTGCATATGTTAGATGCATTTGGACTTGAGAAATTTGCAAGTTTATGCAAACATAGCTTCTGGGTAGTTGCGGAGCCTCTGTAGTTTGTAAGATTGAGTGATAGGATTATAAGAATAGATGCTGGAGTTTATAGCTTATTAACTGTATAGTTATTTGATCTTGCTTAGAAATGTTAGAGATGCAATCTCTAGTTTCATCCTTTAGAAAATTGCGCTACCCCATATTCACCTTTGCATGTGCAAGATGATTTTTTAAGATCTAAAAACAATGATATTTGTAAAAGGGAAAATTGGAAAAAACTTAAATAACCATCACTGGTATTCCCACTGTACTACATCCATCAAATGTAATACTATACAGCATTGAAAGTGAGTGAACACAAGGAGCTGTATATTTCACAAAGTTAACATGAGGCCCATAAAGATAATGCGGACCAAAAATGATATTTCAAAAGAGCACCCAAAAAAATACATGATATTATCTGTACTTTTATTTTTTATTTTTATATTTATTTGTTTATTTATTTATTTTGTGTTTGTGAGACAGAGTCTTACTATGCAGTTTGGGCTGGCCTTGAACTCACTGTCGCCCAGTTTTGAACTTGCAGTGATCCTCCTGCCTCAGCATCCTGAGTGCTGGGATTACTGGCATGTGCCACCATGCCCAGCTGTGCCTCCTTATTTTTAAAAGACAAAATAATACTGTATCTCCCTCCATCAGACATACAGGGTAAAAAATAAGAAGAAGAAAACATAGAAAAAGGCCAGAGAATGATAAACTGCACATTTGGGAGAGAGGTTATCCCTGCAGAGGTGGGAGGTGTGCGGTAAGGCTGGGGACCAGCTGGCACCCTGTCTCAGTGCTGGAGTTCTTCAGCTAGCTGTTGGGCACATGCAAGTCCATTTTGTTACTTACACACTGTTTTCTAAGTCTGAAAAATGTTTTAATACTAAAGAGAAATACAAATGTATGTTAAGAAATTAAAATTTACTTATACTATCTCAGTCTAAAAACATAGTTATAATAATGTTAAAAGATATATTTGAGAAAAACTTGTTATAAGTTTCCTAAAACCTATACAAATCTTTTCATTGATGTACTAAGTAGTAACTTAGTGTGTTAATCAGTTTGTTTCACAGTTCTTTACAGGCCAGAAGGATGGTGGTGTGTTTGAATTTCCAGTTTCAAAAATGGCTAAGAATTTAGACACTTTTTCTTTTCCTTTTCAGAGGTATCTTTTCCTTAAGAGTTTGAACAACTGTTTAAAAAAAAGTTTTTGAAAAGCAATTTTGTTTTTACAAAAGAACATTTTACCAGAAAAATGTCTTTGGTCATACACAATAAAATACATAAATCAAAGTTGAGCTGTCGCTTCTTAAAACTTACCCCCAAATTGGTTGAAATGTTAGTTCTGAAAGTTTAATTTCCAGGAACCTCTATGATACTGTAAACAATTAGCACTGTTTTGACGAGGAATCATCAAGCTTTCTTGGTTCAAGATACCTTGGAGTCCCAGTAAAATTTTATGGTATCCTAAGACCAGAAAAATGACTGACCATTGAGGGTAAGAAGTTAGATTACAGCAGCCCTCAAAAAACAGCTTTCCAAAGGTAGGAGGCCCAACGATATGAGCAAAATTCCACGGTGCCAATGGAAGCACCCTCAGCTAAGTTTTCAGTTTCCAAATGTTGATGATTTCTGTTTCTCCTGAAAATTTGAAGTAACTCATTACTTGTGATTTTGCCATGGGACCCTGCAGACCTAGGTAAAACGCCCTCCAGCCTGACACCCACCCAGTGCAAGAAGGGCTCTGCATTTACTCATCTGCTCTCACCCATGACTGCAGGAGAAGCCGTACAAATGCTCAGAATGCAGCAAAGCCTTCAGCCAGAAGCGGGGCCTGGATGAGCACAAGAGGACCCACACTGGAGAAAAGCCTTTCCAGTGTGATGTGAGTTTGAATTCTCTTTTCTTTCTTTAGTGTCCTGCAGTAACAAGGGAGTGTGTGTGTGTGTGTGTGTGTGTGTGTGTGTGCGCGCACACGCACACACACATGCATACTGTGCACCCTCACACAGCCAGGTGTGTGTTTGGCTGTTGCATATCCAGTCTGTGCGTGTTAATGTCTGACACTGTTTGTAGCTTTTACTTGCATAATCCGTGTAATCAGTTTACACTTTTATTCATCATGGTTAACTGGCAGCAAATAAAATCTGACTTTTTTTTTAACATGTTGGCACCATTTTAATGTCATTGAGTTGTTCTTCTCAGGTGTAAATTCACATAGTTTGAGGCAGCTTTTGTATGTGTTCCCAAATCTTTGACAGTTTAATGACAGTTAAACCGAAGATTTGGTTCGTCACAGATATTACTTACTTATTAAATTCAAACAGTGAATTTCTAAAATACATATAAATTCCTTTATGTAAAATAATGCTGTGTTGAGATTTTCTGCTGATGACATTTGAAAAGAAATGGAATTATAAGTGTTTACATTATGTTTAATAAGAAAAAGTACTACTGTTCTCAGTAAATTTAATCTGATTAATTTAGGAGAAATTCTCAGCCAGGGTGTAGGAATTCTTTTGGGAGAAGTTGACAGTTGACAGAGAATTGACACAGGTGTTTGGGAAGGCACAAGTAGACTTAGTTTTGACACATAAATATCAAAACAAGTACTAATGTAGCTCAAAGTGAGAACAAACATTCAAGTTGGACTCTGTGATACAACGCAGCACGGACTCTGTACGTGTTGAGAGGTAGTCAAGAAAATAGTCCCATGAGTCCCAACAGAGACAGCTCACAGTCCCTGTAAAAGGAAGCTCACGGGCACTAGATATTGGCCTTGTCTTTCCGTGAAATTTCGGTGGTGAGGTTAAGGCAACAATGCACTCCCAATGGGCCTGCTCAGAAAAATATCTTTATTAACAGTGAACTTTACAAGAAAGACCCACAGTCTAAAGAACTGGGCATACACTGAGCTCTGTCTGGACCACAGTCTCAGCTTAATAATTTCAGTTATTTCAATTAAATGATGTTCTTACTGGAAGCATTTTTTATAAAGAAGAAACTATTTAAAGGACTTAATTGTATATCTGCACAAATAACCAATATGGGCCTTAAGTATTAATAGTGTAGCAACATCTTTGTACCTTTAATACTTCATTTACCTATGAGGAATAATTTGTTGAATATTTCCTTAGGTAAACCCAACAGTGATGTTATTAAGCTATCATTTTACTTCTATGAATTCAAAACACTCTGATCATCATCTGTAGTGCAGACTCATGTATGTGGTAAACATTCGTATTTCTGAGTGTCCCACAAGTTTCCTGCAGTGCACCCTGCTCAAGAGCACTGGCTGTCATTGTTCCAGGTCCTCATAACTGCCTCCTTCTTAATCTATTCACCTGGATTCTGATCTCTCCCTGCAGAAAACACTTAGACCCATTGCTGGCTTACAGTTCTCACACCTGTTAACAGTATGTAGCTCAGACCTGCACCCTGTCTTACATACACGATTTCCTGTGTCTGTGTTCTCCACCCTGTGTACCCTACCAAGGGGATATTTTTTGATGAATTTTACATAGCAAAACCAATCATTTAAAAATGAAAAGTTCAGTGTCTTTTAGTATACTGACAATGTTACACAACCCCCATATGTGTTTTGGTTTGCAATGTTTTTGTTGCACCAAAATGAAGCTCTGTATTCATTGAACAGTTAATGTCCATTGCCCTAGACCTTGGCAGCCACAGTCTACTTTCATTTTTGTAGATTTACAGATTCTGGATATTTCTTATAAATGAATTATACAATATGTGACCTTTGTAATTGGCTTCTTTTAGTTTATTGTACTCTAATTTTATTGTAGTAATTACAGTAACCGATTCTTCATTATAGCTGGATGGTATTCCTTTGTTGTTTGTATACAGCAATTCATTTATCCACTCATCCATACATCCACAGTTGGGTGGTTTCTTCCTCTTCACTACCATGAACAGTGCTATGATAAACATAGGTATACCAGAATTTGTGTGAGTACCTGTTTTCAGTTCTTTGGAGTGTATACGTGAGTGTGGAATTCCTGAGTCATATATAGATTCTGCATTTTAAGTTTTGAGAAACCCCCATGCATACTGTTTTATACAGAAGCCAAACCATTTTACATTTCCACTGACAGTACATCAAAATTTCAGTTTCTGCACATCTTTGCCAACCTGATTTCTACTTTGTTTTTAAATTATAACTATCTCATTGTGGACTATCTCATTGTGGTTATGTATACCTTAAGTATAGTATGCGTTGGCATCTTGGATTTTTCCTAGTTCCGAAGTCTTGTCTTTTAGTAAAGCTGGTTAATACTTTTATGTTATCGTAATTTATATATTTTATAATCATCATAGTTTAGTTTTTTTTTCTCTGATTTTTAATGCAACTTGTCTTTGTTACTTAGTGACTTTAAAGGTATATAGTCAGTTCCTAGTTATAATTACCAAGCTTATACTTATGGCCTATTCCCAAAGAAAAATGTCATTTCCTAAGATTAATTGGGTAAGTTATGTTTATTCTGGTAAATTACCCTGTTTGCTTGTAAAACACATGGGCATCCGAGGGCACTGCCATTCATTAGAATAGCTGCTTTCTTTCAACTCACATACAGTGGCTTTTGATTCTTTCTTACTGACATCAGTCTGTTCTTTCCAATATGTTGATGATACTTTTTTGGTAGAAAAGATGAGAAAAATTACCCACTTAACATTATCAAGTCTCCACAATCTTATCACTCAACAGATTGTTGTTTTATTTTGCAATCCTGTGTGGTAATCACCATTATTGTCATTTTACAGGTGAGAGAAGTGAAGTTAAGAGGGTTTATTTGTTTGTTTTAATTTCCTTAGTAGTGATAGTCAGAATTCAAACTCAAGTTGGGTGTTCAACAAATAATTTAATAGAATGCACGTGTGAGTAAAGCTGACCAGAGATCTGTTCCCTCATGGAGCCGAGACTCTAGTGAGTAGAGACATAATAAATCATAAAGTAAATAAATCAGTTACACTGTGTGTCAGAAGATGACAGTGTTCTGTAAACAATAAATCTGAGCAACAAAAAGGTATCCAGAGAGGCATCAATTTTTAAATTGGGATGGTGATGCAGGCTTCCTTGGAAAGTGATCTCACTCAAAAGCTTCCATTCTTTCTGCCACACTATGCTGCCACCTACACGTAAGCTGAAATATATTACTTTTGGATTAGTCCTCATTCTTACCTAGTTAGAATCTCATGCTTTTGACTTTCTTGTTGCTGTGAATGCAAGTCTTTCTTCCTCCTAAAACAAAGCACAGTTTTTATTTGCCATACTATTTCTGTAAGCCTCACCTCATTCAGAACTCCAGCTTTCTTCACAGTACTTTTACAAGCAATTTCCGTTCTCATTATATTCATTATGCTTTCCATGGTGTTTTCACAGTAGTTAAATGTGCCTAACTTTAGAATGGATGTGCTTTTGAAGATTTTCATGTAAATGGAATTTTTACAAATAACGTCATGCTTTGAATTTCATTTCCTTTTATAGCTTTTATTATGCTATGCATGTTCTGTGTTAACTTACTGTTTTTAATTACCAGGTTGTATGTTGAGCCAGGTGGCAATGTGGCAGAGCTTATATGAAGCAAACTTGTTACATTCTTTAGTTAAACAAAGCTTATAATAAGAAACAAAAACAAAAACGGAATAGTGGATAATAAATGTTCCTTTACTATGCTTGAACTAGCATGCACCATCAACATCACGAAGGGACTGATGTGAAGGGATCACTGGTGAGAATGTCTTGTGCCATTTATGCCAGAGACAGAAATGCCATATAGACCCTGAAGCATTTCACTTACCAGGTTTAACATGCATTGCACACTACATCCATCACGTGGAAGGTATGATTTGCAGGACGCTGCTTCTCTAGAGATGCTGCAGGAAAGAAAGGGTGATTGAGGTGCAAAGGATACAATTAAATGAAAAAAGTAACTTGGAAATTTAATTCATTTCTTCACCCATTTGTATAGATGTTAAATTTCATTTATTCTGAGAACATTTGTTTTCCTTAGCTCTGTGAATACATACATGACAGCACGTTAAATAATGTCTGTTGTGTAAATGGTAAGTTGGTGAATCTTCAGGTCTTCCAGTGTAATGTGGTTGATATCTTTGGATCTTTTCTAGGTTTGTGACTTGGCTTTTAGCCTGAAGAAAATGCTGATCCGACACAAGATGACTCATAATCCCAATCGTCCGCTGGCTGAATGCCAGTTTTGCCATAAGAAGTTTACAAGGAATGACTACCTCAAAGTGCATATGGACAATATCCATGGTGTAGCTGACAGCTAGTGGTAGCTGTAAAGCACTTACACCATTCACAAGGGCTACTAATATGAATCCCAGCTTTTTCTCATCTGATCAACATAACAGAAATAGTCAAAAGTAACTTACTGATCTCAAGTTCTTATTTGTTTTCCATTGGTGTCTATAATGTACATATAAAAAAAGAGAGAGACAAAGTATTACTTTGACCAAGAAACACTACAAACAGAAAAACTTCTGTAGCTTTGCAAAATACCATTTGTGTTCTGTCATAGAAAATGGAGAAAGGATTCATGGCTCTCTTGGCTATCTCTCTGTAATTAAGTTTATTGACATATTTCCCCATTAGGCTTTATTTTATTATTATTTTTATACATGTGTATATCTCTGTGTGTATGTGTATGCACACTTTCAAATACTGATTATTGCAACCAGTTATTACTAACTTAAATAGAAGTTAAGTTATCCAAATATTTCTTTGCAAATAAGAGTAAGAGTAAACATTTTCAGTCTCAAGCATGGTAGCATGATAAATACTTGCTATTTTATGAAACAGACCAAGAGTTTCTCTTATTTAATAGTTTCATGCAACAAACGAGCTTAAAATAGAGATATTTAAGAATTAAGACATCTATTAAAATATTCTTTGTGTTAGAGAACTCTCAGGAATCATTATTTTATGCATTACTTATATTCCGATACTCATGACCTAGAATATTTTCATAAGATCTGGATAAAAATAACTATAACATTTAAATATTCATCAAGCTGCCCCTCTTGAGTTTATACTGTTCTATTTAGAATTAATGATATACAAATATGTGGAGCTAAAAGTAGAAACAGAATAAGTTCTCCATATTTGCTGGCTGAGACTAGCAGGACAATAGTGTAGCGTTACCTCACTAGTTATGACAAACATAGCCTTTACCCTCTCACTCCATGAAAGCATACAGTAGATGTTGTGTGAGTATAATAGAGTCCTCAGAGCATTCACATTTCATTTTGCAAGGGATGTTTTCCAGAATCTTGGCAGTTAGTGACTCTGAAACAGTTTTGAATTGTCCTCAGTCATCCCACATACATAGGATTCCAGTATAAAAAGTAAAGATCTGGCAATGGTTATGATGGAAATTGTCATTAATCCATAAGGAAAATGAGAGCAAGTGCGTAATTTCTTCTTTAGATTATATTTCAGTAAAATACTTGACAGCAATATACAATGAACAGCTTAGGGAGATGATGATGCAATACACTCTTACAGTGTTGTCAAAATGAGCTAGAGTCATAAAGGTGAACATGTTAGAGCTTTCAGGATTACAAACAACCTGCTGCCTCTGACCTAGAGGAATCCAAAAGCCAAAAAATGTTAAAGTGAAACACAACTCATGAACCCCTCTAACTGGAACTTACTGAAAAGAGAGGTGTGCACTTTAAAGGAAGTGGTTTGATTATAACATGTTAGGAGAATAGTTATCTGAAGACACAATTCTTTGACCTTACAAACCTCGTTTTAGATTATATTGATGTCCAGCTTCAGTTTCAAAAGAAACATAAAGATTTGATATAGATATATTTAAAGCCTGTAAAAATTCTAAATTTAAAATTCATCAGAGGTAACCTTTAAAAATATAAACCCTGAAATTATAATTTACAAGATGGATATATGTAGTATTTTAGTATCTGATATTAGAGATTGTATTTTATAAAAATAAATTTTGGTTCTGTTTTGCACTGTTATTTGTTTCAACAATATGTTTTTAGAGCAAAGTAATCTTTAGTTCACCATGATAGAGTGCTGGATATCATTTGAGTATGAAAGGAAAGCTGTGAAATATGGTAGTGTTTGTTATTTAAGTGTCCTCTGCTTATTCGTTTGGATGCTGTCCTTGCTATATGGGATGCCCATGCCCTCATTATGTATTGACTGTGGTACTTTAGAGGAGGGCAAGTGGAAATCTTGGATAATCTCAGTGAGAGTCACAATTCTGGGACTGCTGTGAGCTTCCCTTAGAGCCATGGGATTAATCCCCGTGCTGCTTCAGGGTAAAATGACCAGGGAAAAGTATTGAGTCTCACCCTGCTCTTGGCCTGCGGGCAGGGAAAACCTTAGAAGAAAGAGAGGACTCTCAGAGCATCATCCTCTTCCAAGTGCTGAAAGCAGAGCCGGTCCTCAGCAAGCAATCTGTATCCTTTTATCCATAAGATGATTTTTTTTATAAATAGTCACAAGCATACTAGCATTTGTGTGCTGTCACTTTGGAATTGTTTGATAGTAACAGAGGAAAATGTTTTTAGGCTTGATTGACAAATCACAAAAATAAATAGTCATAGACAACTATATAGACCACCTAGAATGCAGGTAGTTTTAAAAGGTAACTTTTTTCTTTCCTGCTGTGAAACATTTTAGCTCAGGTACTTTGCAGATAGCCAAACTCGACACCTGTATAGTCACAGCTAAGTGCTTTAAAAGGCATTCAAATAACGGGCATAGATTCAGGTATCCTTTTATAATTGCTATATTTTCTTTTAGTATGTAAGATGTTTGTGTGCCTTGAAGTTTTTATTTCAAAATCACTGGCTTTTCTTCTCTTTTCTTTTCTTTCTTGCTTTCTTTCTTTTTCTTTCTTTCTTTTTTTCTTTCTTTCTTGTTGCTTCTTGTTAACTACATAGAAAACATAAATGTATTTGTTGATGATTAATTCTTGGAGTTCCACAGAGTAGTTAAAATGCTACTTTGAAGAAATGAATGTCTTCTAGTGTCAGTATGTGTGTCTGCCTGTCTGCACTGCCTTTTAATGCAGTGCTTGCCATGCAAGTGCATTTATTTGCACATAGCTCTTCTGATCTGTTGCAGCCACGGCATTGGCTGGTTGTAAAAATGGATACAGAGGATCTTGGTGCCTTAATGTAAGAATTAAATTTGATGTGCTGCTACTCCCCCACAACTGGAAGGAAAGCACAGATAATAAAAATAATCCTTTTATTCACAAATGTAAATCTTCCTTATGCAAACTCATTCTGGGTTGGGAATGTATGGAGGTAGACAGGTAAGACAGAACTAAAGTCTTACCATTAATACTGAGGTTTGTTTGTATGCATAGAAATAGAATGTTTGTGAATCTAACAGAATGCCAATCACATTTTTACTTTATTACAAATTTATAATAAATGTACACAAATCTCTGCCACACTTGGTGTTAGCATTTTATTTTACTATAAAACTGAACTTTTAAAGTTCTACAGTAAAATTCAAATGAATGCTTTAAACTTGTTTGTGGTAAAAGAAGAAAGTATTTCATTACCCCCAGGCCTCATGGTGTTATAGTTTGTACTTGTAAACATTGCTGGGTCTGGAGAGTATCGTTGTGTTAATCACTCTAGTGCTATGACAAAATACCTGACACCTATAATTTAAAGGAAAAGAGGTTTATTTTGGCTTAAAATTTACAAAGGTTCAGTCCACAGTCCACTGGATGTACGGCAGAAAGTCCTGTGGCAGAGGGAAATTTTCCTCATAATGTAAAATTGCTTAACTCACGGCAGCCAGAAGGCAGAGAAACCAGAAGGAATGGAAAAATAGCACACCCTTTCAGATCATATCTCCAGTGACTCATCTCTTAACAGCACATTTAATACTGAACTCATCCTATTTGAATTCACTGATGAGTATAGTATCTCTGTGATCCAGTCACTTTCCAAACACATGAAACTTTTGGAGGACATTTTAGATCTAAACAGTAACAATTACTAATGTCACGCCAAGTCAGTCCCAGGACAATACGAGAGCACTGTCTACGTCCTTCATCTCCTTCTGGACATAGCTAGAGCAACATGTGAAAGGGAACATCATGAAGAATCAGCAAAGTCAGAGGTAACAAAAACAGTTGATAATAAATGACTGATGCCGATTGCTTCTTTGAAAGGATATTCCATCATTTTGGTGTGCCTCTATCTTGTGAAGTATCCTTGATACAAGGAATAATCATAGTCATCTTGTGTCTCTAAGTAGTTGAATTACAAATGATGCATTCATTTAACTTTGACCTCTGAGAATTAGAAGTTCTAAGCCTTTGGCGCTTTCTCAACCTTGATGAGTTTGCAATTAAAATTCCGCTACTATGTCAGATTGCTGATTTTTTCTATGAAAAAATAAAAAGCCTTCAGTGTGGAGCATTCAATGTAATTCATGTCAAAACATGCTGGATTACTTGTCCATAAAATAGTAAAGAATGCAACAACTACATCATACAAAAGTGGTGCTTCTGACCTGGTACCCAGGTGTCTGCCTCCCTTTAAAAATCCTTAACATAGTGATAAATATAAATAAATGTTTATATTTATTTACACACTACAAAGTATTATTTCCTAAAATAAAAACATAGTTGTTAAATATTTGATAGTGCATTTAGCTCCTTATTTATTCAGATTTTCAGGAACTTTGAGATTTTATTCCTTGTTTCCATGCAAACTTGGCTGTAAGAAAGTGACATTTTTTTAAATGTCAGTGATTTATATGCTTAACATTGGAACTATTTAACCTTGATCATAATCAATGCAACAGTTCATATGAAATATCACTTTCCTATAGAAAAACTATACTTTGAATTAATTACAGAAAGTTAAAAACTAACCATTTGCATCTTGGAAAGAGTATTGTAAAGAATCTCAGGTCACAGTGGATAGTTGAATCATTCATTACTTCACTTTTTGATGTTTTGTCTTCTAAAGAGAAAATCTAATAATGATTTTTCTTTAGTTTCTCTACTATCTTTTACTTATTATCGAATAGCATATCTTTTTTAATTGTGCTGTGATTACTTGAAAAAAATAGATGTTTTTGGATAAACAAATAATGTTAAAATTTCTCACTTTTCATCCTTTCTGGCAGCACTGAGCTGAATGTTTTCCAGTCTGTGATGGTAAGTTTTCCTACCTTTCAGTCTGGTGACATTTGGATGTCTGACTAGGCTTCTATTACAGTCTATACTTAAAAATACATATATTGTTATACCCCTAACATATGCAGTTCATCACCACCATGTGTTAATCCGATAAAAGCCTGGTGTTACGGGTATAACCCAAGACCCTTTTCCTTTGTATAGCTCTAACTGAATCAAAGTAGCTGTAGATTTACAACTGAAAGCAGAAGAGATACTTTAAAAAAGATTCCAGCAGCTTTGAGATCAAGGATACTATACATAATGTAATTACTAATTGCTGAAAGCTAAATGAATCAAATACTGAAATTAACAATTGAATTGATGTGCTCCCTATTTATTCATTAATATTTGATTTTAAAAATCCAGCTTGTAAAAATAGAAAGTACAGTAATGAGATGTAAAAGCTTCTCTATGTACCTTACTTTCTAATCACAAGTAAGATTAATGTTTGCAACTTACTTTTCCATGTGACAAATATAGTACAGAGCTCTCTTCAAAAAATAAGACAGTGTCAAGTATAACTGTCATTGTCACCTTCAGCCTTTATGCTCTTCTCACCTGAAGTTCACCTGTAATGTAGTTTCAGCTGTTGGGTGACTTCAGTATAGTCTCCAGTTGTGCCATTATCTGTGTTTTGAGAGTCTGAGTTGGTTTTGTTCCTGTTCTCAAATTACAATACATAGGAGATTCAGTTGATCATTTCTTCTACAACTATAAATTGTGAAAATCATTCTTAGACTAAGTCTTTGAGTTGAACAAATTGATTTTATACTAAGAAAAACTGTTTATGGCTTTTTCCAAGCTACTGATCTTACCCCTAATTTCCCAAACTGATTACAAAGGATATAGATGGTTACTTATGGCAGAACTTGAGAGACAGAGTACATGGATGGTACAGGGCCATTGGAATGAAAACAGGAATTCAAAATCTAATTCCTACAAGCCAAAATAGTCCCAAGAAAGTACAAATCTGGGCCCATACTTTTTGATTTGAAAACATTAAAAAGTAATAAAAAATTGTTACTGTCATTAAAAACAGACATGTATATAAAAATGGAATAGAATGCATGATTTGCAAATATACTCTTATGTATATCAGTAAATGATCTTCAACAAAGTCTTTAAGACTGTATAATTGGAAGGATAATCTCTTCAACAAGTGATGTTCGGAAAACTAGGTGGAAAAGAATGACATGCAATGCTTACCTCACAGCATACAGAAGAACACCATAATATGAGTTCATTCTCCGTAGTTTCATGCACCCAAGGTCATCCAAATTTGAAAATATTAAGTGAAAAATTCCAGAAATAAACAATTCATAATTTTAAATTGTGTGCTATTCTGAGTAACATGATGAAGTCTTGCACCACTCTGCTCCATCTTGCTCAGGTTGTGAATCATTCCTTTGTTAAGCATATTTACAATGTATCAACTCCTAGTACAACAGTCATTTAGTAGCCATATGGGTTATCATACCATTGTAGTTTTGCAGTGGTTATATTTGAGTCACCCTTATTTTACTCAGTGGTGCAAAGTACAGGATTAATTATATGTTCAAAGAAATATATGAAAAGGTGAAAGCTCCCAAGAAAGAAAAAATTGTATGCTGAGAATGCTAAGATTTACTGTGAGTCTAAGAACTTACCTACATTTAGGCCATAGTATATATAAGGTCCACTATTTTGGATAATTTTGGGCATCCACTGGGTATTTTAAAACATATCCTCATGAGAAAGAATCTTCGTGTAAAAAATTTCATTAAAAATGAATTAAACACCTAAATGTGGCATGTGAAACTAAAACTAGAAAAAATATATGGAAGAAACATAGCATTGAACTTAACAATGATTTCTTAGAAATGATACCAAAAGTAGACCTCTCCTCTTTTAAATTGTGAGTGTTATGTATTTTGTCCTAACATTTAGAAAGCGGGATAGTACAGAAAAGTGGTATGGAAGAAATGAGGTTATTGTTGTGACTATACTTGGTCACAAAGCCTGTGGAGGGTTTATAGGTAGAGTATGGAAAGGTTTGGAGATGAGGGCTAGAGAAACCCGGAATCCTGTAAGTAGAACCTGGTGGGCGCTTCTGCTTAGCATTCAGAAGACCACAATGCTGCTACGAATGCAAACAATAAAGACCAAGCTCAGGAAGATTTTTAAATGGAAATTGAACTTGTGTTTCTGTATCTTTCATTTTTCTAAAGAGTTTGTCTAAAGTTTGGCCATGACTTGAAACTTGTGAAATGCTGAGCTCCAGAGCTATTGACTAATTGATTTGGCAGAGGCTAGTTAAAGCAGTCCAGTGTTAAAGCGTGGTGTGTGTACTGCTGGCTGTTTTTGACAGCTTTTTAAGAATTGAGAGCAAAAAACAACAGTATAATCTGAAAATTTCACATTTTTGTCAGAAATCAGGCGCATGTAAAGTTGGAGCAAAAGAAGATGTAATCGTTGAAGATATTAATACTGTTCGCACAACCCCATTCATCACAGGCCAGACATTCCAAAAGTGTAAATTTTTCATGTAAGAAGAGTGGTCCCTGCTGTAAAACCATCTAGGGAATTGGATTGCTGTCTAGCATTTGAAAAATGTAATCAGTAATTTTGATTTTATGAAATTCAGCTATATATCTCTTTATTAACCAAGTAGTAATATCCAACTATTCAAAAGAAATCAAATATTATTCACATTTTAAGGAACATAGATTATATCATAGTGAAATTGTTACATGTAACAAAAATTGATTAACTGTTAATTAAATAATTGCACCAAAACTCATGAATTAAAACAAGTGTGTACATGTGAAGATAAATGTCTCTTTCTTTTTTAGATACATTGTGGAGAAAAAAAGAATATTTAAAAAAATTATATAGTTCATTCATTATGGCTAACTTCTGCTGATTATTTAAATAGCAAAAAAGGGAGAAATAATGTACTGCCAGATGAAAAGCAAGGTTATATTTTTGAAAAATAAGTGAAAGTTTTATTCACATAATGACTGTTTGGAATAAATTTGGCCCACTGACTATTGTAAGAAAGTGAAGAAAAATAGTAAAATATCCTAAAAATATTAATTAATATAGGACCAATGTAAAAAATTGCTGCAAATATAGATTATGAAATAAAAACAATTGTGCTTTTGATTATGTCACATTTTTACTTTTTTTTTTTTTTATCGGTACCGGGATCGAACTCACAACCGCCTGCTTGTAAGTCAGGTGCTTACAAGTTATGCTGCTGAGCTAAA